GGCTTTCATTACAAAAATGGCATTCCAGAGAAAGAGCAATGTTTCCCCTATCAATCTGTGAAATAAAATTCTGGGGCAATTGAAACTTCGAGTTTTTACAACGGAAAACATTTACGGTACTCGCGTGATTTATGACCTCTGAACTTGCAGTTGTCGTGATGAATACAAGTGAGAACCTAGACAGCACTTGAAACTCGGCCGGGAAACTCGGACGCAAATTCGCCCCTTTTCCGCCAGTTTAAACACCAAAAACGATTTTAGATTTCACAGAGGTAAATTTTCAAAAGGAAAAGCAATTTTATTGTGCGAAAGTGTGCTATGAACTTCTTGACTACAAACACTTCCCTTACGTGCGTATTTGTTTACTTTTGCCGTACACATATGTACAAAATGGCTAATAGTGTCGGTAGCTATTCTTTCAAATGCTCTCATTTCTCATGAACCAAATCGTTATAGCTATAAAAAAAGGAAAACATTTTGACCTACCTCACATTATTTGACAACAGACCCGAATCCTTTACTGCCTTTAGCGAAACGAGATTGCGTGACAAAGAACTTTGAGAGCCAGGTTATACCGCGCAGACAGATACCATTCCGAAAAAGAAACTCACGCGGCACCTTCTGTAGCTATAAAAGCGAAACATGTAAAAAATCAAAATCCTTAGTTTCGTTGACTTATCTGCCAGAGCGACCCTGCAAACGTAACACTAAAAAAATATTTTTTCGTCAAAAGACTATATAGGGGTGGGCCCTTATACAGTGGAACCGCGATATAAAGAACCTACGAATGATTTTCTTTACCTCGATAATAGTAAAATATGCCGTAAAACCTATATTAAAGCTCCCTGTCAAATAACCCCCCTCCAAAAGATAACCCCCCCCCCACCTCTATCAAGCACCCGCTTCCCACCCGTAATTATTCTTCACTAATAAATGAAAGACTGTATTAATCAATCACGACCGTAAAGGCTTCGGGTGGACTGATCCGGGATGGTTTATTTACCAACTGGAAGTTCGGATTTGATTATGATTTTCGACTGCATGACCTTAAACCTCCTGTACTTGAGCTTTTCCACTTTGTATTCTAGTTCTTTATGGAGAAGCGATACCATCTTAGTTTCTAAATTAAACATATTAAGTCCCCCGTCTCTATTAAGCCCCTCCCCCTCAAATGAGCTTGAAATAATAAGCCCCCCCGGGGGAGCTTAATAGAGGATTTACGGTAGCCGCCATCTTTGATTTTATGACAGTAGAAGATTGGGGAGAGTAGAAATAGTAACCCTTACGGTAGTTGCGAGGGCGGAAGAAGGAAAGGGGGGAGGAGGGGAGAAAAAAAATACGCCTGCCCGATATCATTGTTCTTTTGGGAAACTCCATACGCTGGCAAACGGAGCTCCTGATTGGTGCGGCATAGGGAAGTGAATTGATGCTTGTCAATTAACTGTAAATCTATATTGTTTATTCCGTTTCCGTCAGTCTTTTGGAATTGCTGGAGCGGCTGGGAATGTCGCGTGTATTACGCAATGAGAAAGTCAAAGCGATTTCTTCACTGGTCATCAGGACAAGATTTGCTCGCAGTGGCTAAAACCTACACCACTTTTACCTCATGCCAAAATGCTGCATGTTCCAATACGTTTTTTTTCTGGCGAGTAAATTATGCTCTGGAGGGTTCTATGTTTTGACTAAGCAAATGTGATTTTAGCCGGTTGTTTCACACTGAGAGGTCAAGACACGCTTATTGATCAGGCGGTGTTGGACACGGTCCACGTGACCAATTTTGTCCAATCACGTCATTGCAGATGGCGGACCGATTCTTTCTCCTTTGTGCGGGTAGTCTCTTCGATTTTCTTCGCTTTTCGCCGTTTAACAAGTGGTTTACGATAATATTTTTTGGAAAAGTTTGAGTAGACAGATGTAGCAAGTCGTAGTTCTTAAAACAATATGATCTATGTTTGTTTTCTATTGATATTGTTCTTTGGAATTCTTCATGCGCATAATCTCTTTGTTTAGTTAAGAGCTACTGTTTATGCTTTCCAGTCTATATATTCTCAGTGTTCAACGACCCTTGACCTCCAGTTTTAGCGTAATCTATTAGTTTTGTTGTTCAAGTTTCTGAAATGGTCGGCGGGCCCCAGCGGGCCCCGCCGTTTTAAGGGTCAAAATGCCACTTGAAGTTTACCTACGTGCGTGAATCGTGACTCCATTCCACGGCATCTTAAGTATTATAAATATACTCGCGCGGTCACGATCGAATCAGCTTAGAATACTTTCACTACACGATCAGCTTCGAATACTTTCTTTCTTTCCTTTTTTATTCGTTTTAAAAAAATATGATATTTTTTTTGTGATATACATGTCATCGAAGCGGCCCTTAAGCCTCCTTTTTGAATAGTTCCTTGGCTTCTTCCTTCTGCCCTTGTTTGCAAAGAGTTAAACCTGTGCGAGATTCTTCACGATTCCTAATAAATCATACAAAAAAAAAAGAACAAATAAAACTGCATTCATTCGGACTAAAATGAATAGAAAACCTCCGCTTTGAACGACAACAGGAGTTGTTGTTGTTCAATCGCTTCCTCCTAAGGTGAAAACGGAACGCGAGGTCGAAGAAGACCTTTTGGTCTTATCCAACGTGTAATATTTCGATGAGAAGATCAGTATCCTTCATGCACACGTCAATGTACCTGGAAAAACATCTGAGGTGAGAAGAGCACTAAAGAGAAGCTTACGTTCAAAATCAAGCACTTTAACGACATGTAAGAACGAAGCAGAACGTAAGAACGTACCGCCTTGTTTCGATCCCTAAAATTATCTCTTCGACACAGAAAATAACAGTTTCGTGAAGCCAGCAGTAAACGTTGATTGCAGCCACCTTTCTGGAGAAAGATCTCAAATGAACATCGCATGTTATGTCTTTTAAAAGCGGAAGAAGACCTGTAATGCCCATATCACACTATTTCTCCCGGTATTTTTATGGCGTAACGAGAGCTGTGAACAGAGCGAAGGTCAGACGCAAATGAGCCGTTTTTGATTTTTTCCCATGATGCCTTTCGGACCGTGTCCAACACCGCCTGCTTATTGATTTTCTGTGGTTTTTGAATTTCTGGTCTTCATGATTTGCCCTCTGATGCAAGAGCGTTTTCTTTGACCTCTTTTGAAGCGTAAAGCTCTTTTTGTCGCTAAATAAGGCTGTTAGGTTCTTTATTTTTATCCAAAGTGCCTCAGGATCTGAATAACTAAGCGATTTTCTTTCTAGTCCGAGAATGTGATGTTTTCCTGCAATGTTGTATCACGCTGGGCCCAGCTTGTTAGTTTTTTAAATTGTTTGCAGGATGTTAAACTCTCACGGATAGCGATTTACAGAGGTGAATTTAGAAGAATGAATTGCAGCTTAAACTGAAGCTTCATCAGCTGTGGAGGATTACACTGTGACTCAGTCAAGATAAAGACAATGATAAACTCCAACTTGTTTTTCTAAGACAATGCGAGTCTTCGGACCGCTGGAGCGACTGTTTGGTTGTTTTGTTATTGTCGGCTACTCATTTCCGGAAGAGCGGTCACGCGCGTCTAATTAGGGGGTGTTTCTCATTTTCCCAGTGTTTTCGGGCAGGCGTTTTCTCTTCTCTCTCCCCGCCCCCTCCCCGCTCCCTTTGACTCGCCCCATCTCCTCCTCTCTTCAGGAAGTTTCAACATGGCGCTTTCGTGAGCAATCGCTACTTGTGAGATATGCGGCTGAAAATTCTCAGGTTACCTAATTTTAATATGCTTTTCAGCTTGTGCTAACATAATATTTCAAAAGTGAACTCTTCGTGTTTACCGAAAGTTGATCACGTGATCAAGTCATGCAATGAAATCAACACAATACGCTATAAGGTCATCGGCTTTAATTTATTCCAATATCATACAACGCAAAATTTACCGTCACAAGTTACAGAAAAAACAAGGCAATTTTGTCTGTCTTCTATGGAGAAATAAATAAAACTTGCGCAGAATCATTTTCTAATACAACGCATTCACTATCTTGCCGCAAGAGCGGAAAACGATCTCAATTAAGGTTTAGCACTTCCGAAAGGCGAACGTAAACAAAGGGACGCAATGTCTTTCTCTCTGTAAACTCCCACCTTTTGTTACAATTTATTTCTACGTTGTCCATTCCTCGTGACCGAGAGCTCCGTTCAAAGGCTTGGTTTAGAAAGCACAATGCTGTTTAATTTTTAGCCATACTCAAGACATCGATCACATGATCTCTATCCAAACTCTAATTTAGGAAACAATTTAGTAACATCACCTCAAAGTTAATAGACATGCGACAGAAGCATAGAATAACTCAAAACAAAACTACAAAAAACAATTTTTTTCGGCACAGACGCAGCTTTTGTGCTGATAAATGAAACTGACTTTTTATTGGAAGCTAACAACACAGATCAAGAGAAATAAAACATATGAACTACGCATGGGATTGTTTTGGTGCCGTTTAAAAACAATTATATCATTGTAAATAGAATTGGAGGCAGTGATTTTAATTTCCGTTTGTAAGTTGCATTTTAACCTTGATACGAATAGAACCTTAAAAAGTCCACATATTCGTGGTTTTCATCACCAGCATTCATTGTACCAGCACGCTCTCGTTGCGGTAAAAAGACCATCCGCGATCCATCATTTTAAGGCCAAAGTGTAGTTTAGGCAAACTAGAGGGTTATCATAGCTAGTGCTTGAGTCATTTATCAACTACCAAGGTTGTTTAATGGAAGCACTTGAAATTCCAACTCCATTTTTGGTGGATTTAATGAACATTAACATAAAAAATGTTCTCGTTTTTGAATGGCGAGCTATCTTAACTCTTTTACGAAAACATAACATCTGAATCTATGTGCTAACGAATCAATGCATTCGATCCTACGGAAATCAATTTAAAAAAAAAAGCATTCCTCAGTAAATTGATGATCATTTTAGTTTCGGCTGTGTTTTCTTTTGGAAGTAGACTGCTGATCCTTCAATCGCGTTTACTTCAATGAGCTTCTTTCTTCGTCATCCTAGAAATGCCAAAAATAAGTTGTCTTAAATGAAGAATAAAAAAAAGGAGTAATTTGGTGATATATGCACATTTATCGCAAGTTTGATTCTTTTCCGCTGCAAGTTAACTGTCTTTTCTTTCCTCCCTCTATAATTCAATTTTTTTTACTTCCTCCCCCTCTTTTCTCCCGTACTCCACATTTTCATTTGTTTCCCATCACCACACCACCAAATTTTATTCTTTATCATCTTCACGAGCCTTTCACGTCCGCTACTATAGCGTCACTCTTAATGAGGTGATGGTATTGTTCTCCAAGGGATAGAAATGAAAGTTGCATAAGTGAGACCAGCTATAAACCAGTGGAGAAGAGATGTAGACAAAACCTCCTGAAAAACTGATCGCTGCAGTATTTTTCATACACCTAGCGAAGTTCCGAAGGGGACAAAGTGATCATAGACCCGGTGTTTCCGTTATTTTTGGGGAGAGTGATGGGTGCAGGTTTTAGTCTTTTTATCTTACTAAACGTTAACCTTAACCTCCCTTAGGTTGACTAAAACACTGATGACCTCTATTTATTTTTTTGGCTAAACCAACACACAGGATAACGAAAAGTGTAAGAAATAAATTCACTTGTGGAGCTTTTGTAGTAGCTCGCCTGAAGTAATTTCACAACACCTTGTGCACTGAATCTTAATCGCCTAATAAACAGTTCTTTTTACTTTTACACACCACAGTAAGAGAGTTCAGTGAAGACATCTCTGTCGCGATATTTGTTACACCCAGCTTGTTAAGATTGTTCCCCTGAAAAGTGCGCTTAATTTGTAGGGAGTTTTCAGCGACATCTTGACTTTCATCCAGAGGCTACAAGGAAACGAGGAAATTATGAAATCGATAAGTTGAACACTACTAACAGAAAATGTTTTGATAGCTTTAGAATTAACTTGGAATTCGATCAGAGAAAAAAATCTACCCTAGAACGGCTGCAAAATTACAGTCGATCTCGTTATCACCGTCAAACCGCGTGTTCTTGTATGCAAAGTATAAGAGTCAATCTCAAGAGCGCTAGTTACACTCTTGATGTTCAACAACGGACTCACAAAAAGTGATATTTTACGAATTCATGGTAATGGGACAAGGGGTAACACCATAGAAGCTCAACCCTTTTAGGCAAAGACATTTTTAAGCGACGTACGTAAACCGGAAGTACACCTTTTGCATTCTTGGGCAAATTGTCTCAGTTTATAAGAGTAAGGACGCTAGCAGAACAAATCACTTTAGTAGCGTCAAGGCATGTTGAACGGGAAAAGGCTTCACTTCCGGATGAAGTGTTTTGTTCAAAAATGCCTTTCCTCAAGTTCTCTATGATGGTTCTCCTTGTCATCATCAGGATAAAAATGGCACCAGTTACAGTTCACAATTTCTTTATTACGTGATGGCAACAGCTACGAAAAGTTAACTAAACGTGCCAGAAATTATGACTGATGTATTTCAAGTAACTACCTGCACTTGAACCAATTTCGTTGTTTTCTTTTGACTGAAAGACATCTTTGCTGTGAGTAAAAATTACAAAAGAAAAGAAAAATAGGTACCATTGTTTGGTACAAACTGAAGCAGTTAAGTCTTGGCTAAGGTATAGAACTCAGAAAGTTTGGTTCTAGAATGGAGTATCATTTTCCTGGAAACTAATGGACTTTTAGTCTAACCTAAGAAAACAGGCAATGACGCTAAACAATGAAATACTGCAAAATGAGATTGATCCGCAACTCAAAGATAACACCGACCTTAGTAATTTCTGGAAAATAGAGACTTGAGGATAGGTATGGATCTGGAGAGTTTAGTCTAGTATAGGAAAGCACATTCAGATGAACTAAATCTGTAGAAGCTAAGGGTTCCGGGGTGCCAGCGGCACATCCCACCCTTAAATCTTTTAAGTAGTCCTGGGTTCCCCACCTAAAAGTATTGACGTCCCCGTTTAACCCCAGCATCTGAGGTAATAGCACTTTCGTTTATAGGGTACCTACCTCGCAGAAAAAGACTGTATTTTAGGCAGTTAGTTAAAGTACGACTGTGACATATCTGTTATCGGTTACCTTTGAGTTTATCAAAACTGTTGGAATGCAGACTTTTCTTGCTTGAAGAACTTCCGGTTTGCTTAAAATGGAATAGGCTCGTATTCAAACAAAGAAAACGTCATCCTGTATTTGTCACAAGTATAACAAGGCACTTTGTAACTCACTATCTTAGCCAACCCTTATTAAGTCATTCGGTCAGTTTTCAAATCATTGTAATTGTAAAGTGACTGAATCCATGAGCCCTTATATATGGGGAGAGCTGTCGATGCCGTGTTTCCAGTTCTTAAATATTTGACACTTGCATTTCCTTTTTTTCGCATTCATGTTTTAGAAGATAACTTTTATCTTCTGGAAAAAAAAAAAAAACAGCACGAGCTCTGAAAAGACTTGTCGGTCTTATATTAACCAGAAGGGGTGTTACATTTTGTATAATGAATTCTTTTTTGCGGAGCTTCTATTTTGTTGTGCTACTGAGCCATACAGGTTTCAAGTAGTTGACAATACAGGAGTTATTTTGTAAAGAGCCTGTGGTGCGGCATCGGTGCTGAGTAAAACTGAGTTAATAAAAGTCAATTTACCACCCAAAAAACGTCTCACAAGTTGACATTCGAGTTCTCCCCCTCCCCGCTCTGGTCAGGCCAGAGCGAATCCAATGTATTCAGTGCAAATGGGAAATAGTGGGGAAGGCTTGCCGCTCGAAACGCGGCCTTCACATAAATGATAACCATTTTACAAAAAAAGCTGCCCTATACTGTATATCAAATTCTAATTCGATAAACCGAGTATCTAATATCTAATTCGATATAATAAATATTGAATTAATATCTAATTCGATGTTAACCGCGGCAGGATTAGCTCAGTCGGTAGAGCGCTTGACTGCAGAGCGGGAGGTCGCGGGTTCGATTCCCGGGGCCGGACCAATACTCAGGGTCTTAAAATAACTGAAAAATGAAGGTACTCCCTTTGCACTGCAGGCGGCTGGACCTTCGCGTGGCTCGGATGACCACGTAAAATGGCGGTCCCGTCTCCCATTAGAAGACGTAAAAATAGTGTTCCCAATTAGCACTTTCGTGCTAAATACATTGACACTCAAATAAAGTGCTTTTTTTTGAAATTATTATATTTATTTTATTTTATTTTATTATATTTTATTTTTAATTCTTACCGACAATGAGAATGAAGCCTGGTAGTTAGAATCGTATTCTTTAGAGAGAGCGGACTTTTCTCTTATTCGGCGAAATGCTTGACGAACCTAAAAGATAGGGAGATCTAAGAAACCTTTGCGCAGTTTACAAAGAAAGTTAGTTTCAGAGAACTCTGAGAGGACCAAGAGAACTCTGAGAGGACCAAGAGGACTCTCAAATATAGGGAGTTTAAGCAGCGACGTTTTAAGCAGCGCACGTCAACCAGAAGTGAACTTTTTGCACACTTGAGCCGTGATATTTTGAACAAACATTCGGGCAAATCGGCTCTTTTAGAGTAAAGACACTTAGCCATACAAATTTGGTAGCGACAACGCATATTAAAAGGGAAAAAAGCTCACTTCCGGTTGACGTGCATCGCTCAAAAACGTTGCTGCTTGAACTCCCTAATAAATATCCTGGTAAGTTAGTTATCCCTAGTTATTGCTCGAGAGCTTTCTAAATTACTTGTAACTTATGGAAACCTGAAAGGCAAGGAAAGCTAAGGAGATTCATTATTGCAGTAATGGCAAGTTCAAGGCTGGTGTTTTCAGCTTCGATTAATTTGGACCACCTTATTCTCTTGCTGTTAGTTTAAATTGTCACTTTAAATTGAACGGTTTATCAGATCTGCATCAATTCTTTCTTACACACCTCACTGTTAAATGCACAATGCAGCAGAAATATCAGCAAGCCCTAGGAAATTAAAGACAAAATCAGTCCAGGTTTAAAAACGGTGAAGACTGTGTGAAGAAAATGAAATTAAACAAATTTTTTGCAAGGTAGCTTGGCTTTGCAAGTAAGTGTCAGGGAATTAGTTCAACAAAAATAAAAATGAAACAAGTAAACTATGGTTTTTAGGTCTACCTGAAGTCCATTGATGATGGCGAAAGCATACTCGAACACAATGGTGTTCTTGTTTACGGCAAAAAGACCAAGAATCCAGCCAACTCCGAGAATAGGCATGAGAACAAACAATCCCTTAATCCCAGCTCTAGAAAAATATAATGGGATGTTGATGTTAAAATAGCAAATGCGTAAAAACCAAAGACTATTTTTTGCTAAACGATGCCAGCTATTAACAGGTTAACAGCTCCCGCGTTTTACGCCTTGTGTGCCTCTTAAAACCAAGGGAAAAAAATCCTCAATTACTTTGTCTCTAAAGGGCTAATATATTAGAAACGTTGCATCATGTTACCACTGGTCCATGCAAATCGTTTGAGAAAATCAATATTTTAAAAATACAATTATACTTTACCTGGATTTTATCCAGAGTATGAATTACCCAAAAAGTAACATTCCAGAAATAAGTCGGTGTTTTTTAGTTAGAGAGTTATTTTTCTTTGCTTTAATTGTGCGGTAATTTCACTTTCGTTTGCCTCGATTTCAACAAAAAAACTGAAAATGTTTCCTTCGGCTTTCAAACACTTACTTGACATGCATGTGCTCAGAGTTTTTTACAGCCTTGGCGGAAGTCACAACCGTGTGTACCACCTTGAACAAGATGAAGCTATTTATCTATAATAGAGATGACAAAGATTTTTTGTGTTTTATTAGATTTCATAATAGATTGCAGTTATTTCCTGCTGACAGCGAAAAGATTCCCATTTTCTATCCTTACATAAATACATGAACAATTTAGGCATTTGCACATACAGTTATGACTGCAATAACCGGTCCTATGAACGCCCACACTGTTCCATCTTCCATTGAGAGCCAGCAGCTGCAATCAATAAACAATGACACATTGGTTTTAAAGACTGTCAAGAATAGATTAATATTCTAAACGTGTATCTTACATCTCTCTTGAACCATAGCTGTCTGGTCTCAAAGCTACTGCAATGATGACGGGGATGAGAGGAAAACCTTTAAATGAAGAGAAAGAAAAGAATTCAGATTCTTTCTTTTATTTAACTCTTACTAACCAACCCATAATTTACAGGTGAACTGTCATAACTATAAATCTATGGTCATGTCTGACAATGAGCGAAATAAGCAGCTGCCAATAACTTATTTTTTTACTGTGCAACATGGAGCTGAACACCTTTGGGTAATGAACGGCAATTGACAGGCTGAAAAAGGTTCGACGAAAAGTTTGAGCAGAGACAGCTGGGCTTTAACATACTTCCGATAATGATTTACCTTATAAATCAAGATCGAAATTATATTTACTTACCCCATCCTGAAGCATAGTAATAAAACATTTTGAGATTCTCAGACTTGTATACTTGGACCACTTTTAAGTACAAATGCACTCCTTCAACTAACATCCAAGTGAATGCAGTCATAAAAAAGTAGTGAAGAAACACGGCAATAGTTTTGCAAAGCACCTAGAAATATTTAAAATTCTCCCTTTCAGTCATAGGAATACTTTACATCAACTTCGCTAACTTGGACAGTATTACTTAAGGCAACATTATGTCTCATTCTGCACAGGATTTACTCTTTTGAAAGGATAAATATACGCTGTAAACGGTATGGTAACAAGGGAAACTGGCATCTCTGTGCTTCGCTCGCTCAAAAGTTACTGGTGCATTGTACAATCCAAAAAAGCAAAACTGCGTGCTGGAAAAATAATCTAATATATCATCAGTGCAAGGTAAGGGACATGCAATCATTTGAGTAATTCTTACGAGGACAATACGAGGGCTTATCGACTTTCAAAGGGCTAAATTATCCTTTTTCAATACATGTTCAGGATGGCTTCTAGGGCGTTTCCTCTGTTTGCTGAGGATTATCTGGGGAGTGGTCTCAGTGCTGGAGCATCATCGTTTTTAGCTGCATAGCTGTCGAGCATGTGACGAAGTTCATGAAGGCCCTTGTGGAATGCCTTCAGGAACTGTGGTAATGACTCGTTTCCTTTGTTCTTTTGGGTCTCGTCATTTTGGCATTGCCTGTTTTGGAAAGGTCAGTTAATTAAGCTGTCTCGCATTTTAGCAACCTTTGCTTCACTTGAGGATTCTTTAACACTGTTACAGGTTAGCATACTCTCGATTTCCTGTGAGCAAAATATCGCAGGTACCTCGAGGCAGCTGAGCACCCCTTTGGCTTTCCTGAGTGTCAGTTACGTATACGCACATTTAATCTGACTAGACCTGTTACGACGCGGAATTGGATCAATAAGCACTTGAGGGGACTGAACTTGAGATTTAGCGTGAGATTTTCAATACCAGCATCGGTTTTTAAAGCCTGTGTAATGGCGTTCCCTAGATAACTTGACAAAGGCATGTTTCTTACTAAACTGCTAATCAATCGTTCAAAGGTGGAGTGCATTACACAAACCAAATGGCATGTTTACGCACTGACACAACCAATTAAAAGCAATAAATGCTGTTTTCTCTCCATACTTTTATCCGACTCCAAACTGTAAAATCCCGGTTTCGATATTAGGCGTCGAAGCCGTTTGACTCAAAGAGTCGATCTTCATTGCAAAGTAAGGCATATGCATCCTTGCGGCTAACGATATTTAGGTCTCGTTAGTCCTCACATACCCCATTACTACTAGGGAAAAACACGTAAATACCTCCTTAGCTTTACGGTATAACGTTTCTAGCTACACAGTCGATTGTACACTTAATTGTATGAACTGTCAAGAAGGTAAGCAATAATCATTGGCCTACCTTGTCTGACGTTTTCCTTATGCCAGCCAGGAAAAGAGCTTGGGCAAGTAGTAATGACAAAGCAAGATTCATGTGTATCTTATGACGCTCCGACGACAGAGACCTAAAACAAAAATTTTTTTCATTCAATTATTGCTGAAAAAGGTAACGATTATATGTCTAACACAATAGAACACCTACTGACAAAACTGGCTTGCTTGAAGATTTCCTTTTTAATTTCACTTACTCAATACTCAGCAATACAATAAGAGTAATAGCAAGAGCAGCTGTTGATACTCCGCAGCCGATGTAAGTAATGATGGAAAGAGCTAACTTGTCTTTCTTTGAGTTCTGTGAGAAAAAGAAAGCTTTAAGTTGAAATCTCGACACTGCTAGAACAGCCCTTAGAATACCAAAACAAACATAAGAACGATCAGCTATTAGACATCAAACTTTTTTAAAACAAAAGTAAATGAAATATGTCTGTTACGCGGGTAATCTTTTAGAGGACGGGTAGCTTGCAAACCAAACTGAACGCAGGGTTGTCGGAACAGCAACAAGAAGATTTATTCCAACAACGAACGTAGTTTCCACGAAGTAAAAGTCCACAACAGCACGTAACTCGCTCAACTTACACGGCCTCCGCCAACTTCAGTTAACTTGATGCACTTACACGGCCTCCGCCAACACTGCTTTCGTCACACTTGACTAAACACGACTAACGTCAAACTGTCTTGGCTTGTGAAAACTAGTTAAAACTTAACTCGGACTCGCCTACTTACTTTATACTTTCACAATATAACAACCTAGAACTTTCCAAATAGTCTAATTATAGAAAGATTACAAAATATACCGCTTTAGAAACGCTTACACAAGATCCTAAAATAAACAAACTATGAACTCTCGCGAAGCTTCTAGAAAGTCACACTAGTCACGTAACAATGTCATAGAAATAATCACCGAGTCGATCATACAAAGTATTAACCAAAACTTTGTGCTCGTATTTGGCTCGTTCAGTGACAGCAGAGGAAAATAGGAAACGACAGAGATACGGATGAGGCTGTCATAGGTGCCTAAGCCACGGCTGCTTGAGGTTATGCGGCCGCAGCAGTAGCAGCTCGCTCTTATTCTGACCAAATGATTTCATCAGCTTCTTACCAAAAAAAGTTTATAAAAGGTTACTTATCACCCCTTGAAGTTTTCTTATAAGAAGGTTTCATCAACAAAATGAGGTATCCTACGCAGAAATATAAACATTAAAGAAAATTTAAGTAGTTTGCAAGGCAAAAAAATTAAAAATAGAATAACATAATAGACTGGTATCATACCTGTGTATTTTGGTGTTTTATGAGCACCGCAAAACTTGTGAAATGGTTTGTTTGACAAACTGTTCGTGTGGAGCTTGGTTCATTTTTTTCCTCTTTAACGCCGTCATTTGCCCACAAACTATGGTATACTCAAAAGAAAAAATTGTACGTTATAGAATTCTACAGTCAGACAATTGTACAAACTTCAAAACTAACAAAACAGCCCAGTGAAATGGTTCCTGTCCACAGTTCCAGATAACAAGCCTGTATATACTGAGTTATGTATTTACTTGTAAATCTGATCACTTCAGCTGTTCGTTCGATTTAACAAAGTTCAGAAAAAAGAACGAGACAAACGATTACGTGGAATGAAAGAAGAAAAGCAATTTCACCTCTTGTGGACATTCCAGTAGGAGCACTGTTTTTTGGAGTTCTCCACTTCCTGCAAACATGAGCATCACAATGCCCTTTAAAAATTGTGCACGTGGAAGGTTTTGTTGGGGGGGGGGGTGGGGAGGCATGCGTTATTGTAATGTAGAAAGTGAGATAGCTATAACTTCTGAATGTGAGTGTTTTGATCATCTGTTGGTGCCATCCAGTGGATAAATCTTTAGCCAGCTGATGGTTGAATTAGCTCATCCTGTGGACGATGATATTTTATCCAGTGACAGTGTTTATGTGGCCGACGGTATTTTATCCACAGGGTGGTGACTTACCTAGAGGGCCAAGTTTATGTCGATGACAGTTTTTCACCCGGTAAATAGTGCTTTATGGCACGTAGAGTGTTTTATGATGTAGAGAGTGGTTTTTTTGGTGGAAATTGCTCGTGTAAGTGAACGTTTTTATCCCCTGTACAGTGTCTTTTGTCGCAGCGTCTGCCTCTGTAGAGACTGCTGTTACGTTTTTGAGCTATTTTGAAAAAAATAGCTCATATGTCAGTGGTGTGAGCGTGTGTATCTTTGTGGCTTTGTATCTTTGTAACTTTGTATGTTCGGATGTTTGTTGCAAGCGCCAATAAGGTTGAAGGTACTATGAGTTGATGCTTAGGAACCAATGAGATCTTGGCATCTACTTAAAAATGATATTGCCAAAGGTCGAACAAGGGCACTTTAAGACCGCCATCTTGATTCTTCACAATTTTTTCGTCTTTTATTACGGCTACAGGTGTTTGGAAACATTATATTAAATATCTTCATGATTCAAACGCTGTGTACAGTAATGCAGCTGTTTAAGGGTTCATATTTTAGTGTGGATGCTACTTTAAGACATTTCTGACCGAATTCGGCTATCGCGAACGGTACCACGCACGTATTTATGAGTTGTGCTTCACCTGCTTCAAAGTAGAGTATAAAAGATCATATATTTTCAAAGCTCTTCCAGTGAAGCAATAATTGATATCTAGATATGGACTTTAACTCGAAAGTATGCGGCCTATAAAATGTGGTTTGAGAAGTTTGAAAGGCAGCTTATTTTTTTAAAGCTGTACCGAGTATTGTTAATCCTGTAAACAAGCTGTAGAAATATTATTCTCTCGCTTACAAAGTTCAACAGACCTTTTTCGTTCCGGCAAAAAAAACAAACAAAAAAAGAATAATAAGTGAACAACATGATACATCCTTCCTGCATACTAAGCATTATAAGTATTGAAACTTATTTTATTTCGTAAAGATGCGTAACTTAAGTAGAAACAGTAGCGTTAGGGAATAAAATTGGAAGAAGCTAGTTGACACAATAATTAGATACTGCTTTCATGAGTGGAGTAACATGATATGAGCAGAAATATATTTCGGCAGTTTGATAATTTTCTTGGAAGTTAATAAATGTTAGGCTATCAATCTTGACGTTACATGAAGCATAATTTAATTGCAGATGTTGTAAAGCCGAGGTGATTTCTTAAAATCGTTTGAGAAAATTTTGTAGTAAACAATTTGCGTTTTTTTAAAGTACGAATTGTAAAAGGGCCAAAGACCAACATCTTTACGTGCAAATTGTGTGCATGAGTTATTTTTATAATTCTGTTTACTCGATTACTGTATGATAACTCGAATTGCCTCACGTACGAACCACGAAAGGGGCAAAGTCCAACACTTTCACGTGCCAGTTGTGTGACTGTACATCTCATGCAGATTGGCTTTTCACAATAATAATAGTAACTTGAACGTACGTATGAAGACCTGTTTCGTTTTGTAACCAATGCCTTGAAAAAGGCTCTTGTCTTTTAAGAAGCAATAGCTTTTAAAACGTGAAGAAATAAGTTGTCGGAGTTAAACACTGTTTCACTGGGTAGAATCGCACGTGAAAACCTCGTGAATTGTGATGATGCAACCATATACCACAATGATAAAAATCCCGGTATTTCATAACTACTCAAATTCAATGAGCCACATTTTGGCTTAAGAAACTCCGAGGAAACCTTAGAGTTGTCCTTCTAATCAACGTTTGGGGAGTAGACATATATTTTACTTAAGCAATTTGTTTAACTTGCACCAAATGTAACAGGGAAAGACAGAGGAAAGTGAATATATAGCATGAGGATCGACGCAGCTGAGCGTTTCGCGTTTTCGTTTATGTACGGCAATACTCAATTTCGCACAAAAACCCAGTCTACATTGAGGACGAAAAAGGTAGATTCATCACTCTTGGTAAGGTTACACTGAAGCAGTAAAGTTACACTGAAGCATTCAAAATAGCTCATGCACGTTTAACGTGCCTATGTTTAACCCGGGTGGTTGTTTTGCTGGTGGACAGTATTTATATATATGTGATGGACGGTGTTCATAGTGCGTTTATACAATACAGCTGAGAACACAAACATTGCAAAAGAAACAAAGATGAGCCTTGTTTTAATTAGTTATACCAGCAAAAACATGGTACTTCACGGATCGATTTTATCAACAGCTTCCCAGTCTGGAATGTTACAGGAATTTTAACCCCAATCTTAAATTCTTTTTAAAATCTGGCAGTATTTTTAAGCCTTGTATTTACCATTCTGTGCCCATACTTGCCACTTTCCCTATGGAGGCTATTTAATAATGATCAAACACTATAAAGTTTTCTTCTTCTTAGATTAAATATTTGTCAGCTAAGTTACCTACCGACGTTGTAAAGTTAACGTTGTAAGTTGACGTTGTAAAGTTTAATAATGCAGGACGTGAAAGTTTTGTAACAGGCTTGCCATCAAGCATCAAAAAACAGGACATCACAAAAGAGGAAACTTCCAGGTCTTCTCCAATCCCACTTTAAAAAAATGATAACAACGTTTATTTTTCAGCAAAAAAGTACTTCTAAAGTATCCATAAGTGAAATAATAAGAATGATTTCACTACCTTCTTGAGTTAGGAAGCGAATTTTTCACGTCTTTGTACAGCACAAAAACATACGTGTAGTTTTCTACAAGAATAAAGACCACGCAGCAGTAAATTACCATTAGTCCTTGAGTTAAATTATAGTGTTAGAAACAATTGATCGTAAACATTTGTTTTACCGTTGGAATTTGACCTTAGGTAAATAATGACAACGAGATTTGATATTAATATAGGGAACGATATAAGACTTTACATATAAACCGAATAACGTAAATAGATACATGCCTGAATGAATTAATTGCTTAATCCTTCTCTGCGATAAAGGAGTGTATAAATAAATGAGATTATTGAATAAGTGAAGTGATGTATGTGTGATGATGTATGCATACATTAATATGTTAAACACAGGTTATAATAATTATAGCCAATTCTTTACAACAGGAAAACAGTCAGACACCTTTGCCGTCTTCAAACGTCTCTTTAGGAATTAATGCATAATCCGACTCTTTATTCCACGAGTCTTCTGGAACGTTTGGGTGATGGGGAATCTTGATGTCTTCTACAACGGCTTCCACAAAGTTCCTTTCCACTTGCGCCACTGCAAATCCAATAGACGATATCAGTGAGTATTGATGTAGTAAATACAATTGTGTATTTTGACTCTTACCTACCTTATCTAAGCAGATATAAACACCATAAAAGTCTACAAGTTTGGTACCTCAAAACAGATCTACTTCATCCCACCTTTCACTGGGTGCAATAATACCCGTGTTCTTTGTTTAAAATAGAATTCGCAGTTTGTGTAATCAGTAACTGGTTTGACTGAGTTACAGCTTGTTTGGTAATTATGGTAACCTTAAAGCTTAATTTTGATCTCAAAGAAATGTATTTAGTTTTCATAAACCTTGGGAAACTAAAACACGTCTAACCCAACTCACTCATTTTTGCAATCGTCTGCAATTTGCGTACAAGGCAAATTGTACAAGTGTAGCTTGCGTGCTTAACCTGAATACTATGAAAATACTACGAAAAAGCCCAGTTATGATAAATATCATTTAATTAAACTCCCCGCGCGGGTATTGCGTGCGAATCACTTACCAATGTTTGAAAATGTCACAGTGTAATTGATTTCCAAGGAAGAGTTTCCATTAACTGTGGCTATTAACACATCTTCCAGAGTCTCCATCAGGTTAGGCATCTAAGAGAGCGAATAATAGAAACCGGAATAGAACTAAATTTGCCTTGTTCCTGTACGGTGACTTACCAGGCCTTCTCGGTCAATACATTTCGGTGACGTATTCGACCACGTGACCCGAAAAGCATCGGCCGGGCGGAAAAATATGGCCTAGGCAAGAACTGAATTACGTTAACTTCAACTGTAACTATAAAAACAGTTTTAGACTCGAACCATACTTAGATATTTTTAATTAGAATACAATACTAACTCTGCCTTCCAAACAGCCCGCTTGGCGAACTCCTCTATATGAAAAAAACACAATGTTCTTTTCGGCTAAATTAGAATATACACAAACTGTGTAACACTGCATAACACTTTATAAACAAGTGGTTTCAAAAACAGTTGTCTTGGCTTGAAATCTCCATTTTCAGGGTTATCGTTAAATATTGGTTAATTAAAAAATCAGAAATAATAATAATGACGTTAACCCATTAGAGAGTCTTCACCTATTTCTTCATTTGTTTAAATGCAAGAGGTATCATTGGAGACTGGGAGCCGATCAAATTAAACTCGACAGGAGTTGTTGATTGCTTTTTTTCTTCAAACCTCTAGGGGGGTCAATTACTAGTCGGGAGTCCGGTGAGATACACTTCACTGTACCATATATCGAACATTCAGATACGTAACGAACCTGTTGATTTTGCTTCCAGAAATTATGATTCTTCTCAAGAATACATTCTGAAGCGGCGTTCAAAATGCCTTGCAGCGATACCTAAAATATAACGTTACGATCAATTTGAAATATTGTCTGCGGAAACTACTCTATACTCTACAGTATATAACCCGTTTTCTAACTCCGGTACCAGACAATAATGCCCCATTTCAAGGGTACCTCTTGACGGACGTTTGACCATCTTGAGGATAAGGAAAAACTCTCAGTTATTTTACGCAGCTGGCTTACCAACAAAGAGCAGCCTTGTATGTTATATTGTTCATTAGGTAAATCCTTACGCAGATTTTAAACTAATCTATTTATTTATTATTGTTCTTTCAAACCTCCAAGGCAGAGAGTGGTAGGCCGAAAAGTACTGGCCGTTTTTCAGTGCTGCACTGCAAGAAATTAGGGGTGCTATATCCTGGCAGCCTCCACCGGTGTTCTACCGGACTGACTGAAAAATTCACGCCTCTTTGTTGTAGCAGATACATTAACTGGCTGTGGAATGGAGCATATCCCACGTTACTTACCACTGCAAAGGCAGGATCACGCTTAGCAATCTCAAGTTCTATAGCGGTATAGTTTTCAAAAATGTTCAGACATAAATCTTCCAAGTCTTTAGGTGACCGATTATTTGACAGCAGTAGCTTGTGAGTTGCAAGATTTTCCAGAATAGCAGATTCGTTTAGTTTGCCACTTTGAATTAGCGAGGCCTTGTGGAAAAAAGAAGCAAAAGAAGAACAATTAGTTGCCGAGGGGAGGAGCAACGGGGTGTATCATTAAATTCAGTTCAGGCTGTTGTCGACATGAGTGTATTCCCTTTTTAAATACTGATGCTCTCAGTCAGATGTTCAATTTTTCCCAGCTTTATCTTAGTTTTTAATTCCCCCAATTACATTTCTGGGTCTGTTACAACAGCGAATACCTCCCGGGTCCTGTTGCTCTGGTATGTAAAACAATAACTGAATAAAACATTTCAGTGACGAAACGCATGTTTTATTTCCTTTACTGACTTACATATATGGCTTCCCATTTTTCCATGAACTCGTTAACTGCAGGACCTGAAAGGAGTGAAGTTCAGGATAAAAAAGTGAGTGATGTTGACGTACAAGAAATAAATTATGTTACTTTAATATATCAATTATGGAGCGTTTTCACTCACGTGACCATGAGCTATGCAAATTTATTGGGAAAAATGAAGAAAGGTTTTACGTAGAAAAAGAGTTTAACTGCCACAGAACTTGGTTTGGGACAGCAACATGGCCGCCGTTTTACTGTTTTGTGGCAACAACATGGTGGACGTGACGTCACGTGAAAAAGGTCTATATGTTTATAATGCCGAGAGAAGTAGATTTGTTCACAAGGTAAGTTATAGTTCTCAGTAAGCCGGTGATGTTTTTCCTCTAAAGAAGGTTGTCAAAATGTTCCATACGACAACATGACTATAGAATGTGAATCAAGAAATATGAAGGATAGTTAGTATTTGCCAAGGACCTTGTGATGTAGATGGTGTTGATGACTGTACTTGACTCGCCGAAGGACTCAAAACACTGTCTGTGCTGGTACCTGATAAAAAAATGTAAGCATCATGGAATTATGTTATTAGCATGTTAGATTAGTAAAAATTAAGCACGATTTCCAGAATTATTCTTGCATTACGAGCTCGTATCTTGCGCACGCTCTAAACCAACAATAAAATTATCAACTTAGAAACGGACTGATTCATAGCAAACAATGATGCACGGTTGGGTTACTGGTGGTAGATATTGCATATCAATAAATATGATATTTCGAACATTAGCTGGAAGGTTACATTGATAAAAAGGAATACGAAAATTGAGTGTACTATGGAATTATAATTTATATTTCTTCACAAGGTAAGTTATAGTTCTCAGTAAGCCGGTGATGTTTTCCTTTAAAGAAGGTTGTCAAAATGTTCCATATGACAACATGACTGTAGAATGTGAATCAAGAAATATGAAGCATATATAGTTAGTATTTGCCAAGGACCTTGTGATGTAGATGGTGTTGATGACTGTACTTGACTCGCCGAAGGACTCAAAACACTGTCTGTGCTGATACCTGATAAAAATTGTAAGCGTCATGGAATTATGTTATTAGCATGTTAGATTAGTAAAAATTAAGCATGATTTCCAGAATTATTCTTTCTTTGGTGCTGCGTTATAAATAACCATGAAAGAGGGTTACGCGTTGTAAATTCTACATTAAGCATTTGCCTACAATGTCAGCAAATGGCCAAAATTAATTTAATTTGTTGAAATTTCTTTAACAAAAGAAGTCAACATGTGATCGATGTTTCGAGGGCTTATTAAATGACCTCTGTTGACATTAATGAACCAGAATGGATTAAACAAGAGACATAAGCCTTTAGTAAGCCTTTAGTCATAATAGAGTCAGTGTGAGATAACATTACAAACAAACCCATTATAGCTGAGCGCGCCACTAAAGAAAACTGAAGTGGACTCGTTGACCCGGATGAGGTCACAACGAAAGTCGTGCCTGTAAAACCTGATTAAGAATATTATAGGAGATGGTCATAGTGATTAAGGAATTATTTTCTGCCTTGTTAATATAAGAAAATGAATAGATCACATTACAGCCCCTAGCAATTGCACTTATCACTGACTAATGCTTAATACATCTTATGCCAGAAACAGTGCGACCAAATCAGTAAGATTACACTTAAAGAGTGTACTAAATTTCCTTTTTAACCTGAAGCTTTAAAAGTCTAGAGTGCTTTAAACAATTTTTACACTTTAAAATTGGCTTAATTTATATTAGTAACATGAATTGCATGAGGTTAACCTCCAGATGAATTACAATCTTCATGAAGATTTGCTGGGTGCTTGAATTCGTGCCCTTTTTTCTGCTCGTTAGCCTGCATCAGTGCAGGCGTTTACCTTGGGTTGACGAATATTTCTGATCGCGTAACCACCATTTTGCAGTAGTTCAGGATATCGACTGGTTAGATGTTCAGCTAGATGTATCACATGCACCTCGGTGATGAGCTTTGCTTATCGGTTTTAGTACTTACAGTTGTCACAGAGGTCTTTACCGCCGAATTCGCGTACAATAAGCCTATTCAAATAATAATCAACTGTACAGATACGTTTGTGTACTTCGACACCCTAAAGGAGCGGATTTCTTGCTACTACTTTGCAGTGGTTTTTTTCACTTTGTTATTCTAGTGCAGCGTATCTTCCACCAAAGTCGCTGCACAGAAACTGCTTCCAAAGATAGACTATATACATACAACATATTACCATATCAACCAGTCTGCTATTCAAGACTTGTAACGCCCTAAAGAGTCTAAGTCAAAGTCTCTAACTCGCACCATTTACTTTTGAAACAAGTCTTATAATTATGTACATGTACTCCTTGCTACATCAAAATCAGAGAAAACGAAAATAGGAAGAATATTTCACTGCTTAACATTAAAATTGCCACAAATTTGGATTTACATGGGATGGGCTGAATGATACTTACTTTGGTGTGTGGGTGTGACGCTGAAGCATTGTAATGGACTTGATAAAGACGAACTTGAACTCCATTTATATGGATTTGTAGGAGGATATATCTCTACATTGTCCCCTCTGGAGATATCTGACATTAAATAGATAAACCAGTTAGGTCTCTTTAATTATTTATACTCCGTCAGACATTCTATACATTGGTTATTAAAGATAAATGGATCCCAACCCAGTCCGCAGCGGGATGGATGTAATTTAAAGGGTTTTTCAGACCAGAATTGTAAAACACAAAATAGCAATGATCAAATATCGGCAGGAAATAGCCGCGTATACTTTTAGAAAATACACCCGACATATTCGACAACTTCTTTCGCACCCGTCCAATGACAATAAATCTTCTTATCAAGAAAAGATGTTGCTTTGCCAGAGGGTTTTGGTGGCAGGACTTTTAATCTGGGTAATAACAAGTCATATTTGTGAAATATTTGGTTGCACTGAGATCACTTTGGATTTCCATTGATTGGTGAAACTATTACAGGGCAGATCCCTTTCCCTTCTCTCTCCCCCCCCCCCCCCCCCCCCCCCCCCCCCCCCCCCCCCCCCCCCCCACCCCCCCCCCCCCTTCACCCACCCACCCCCACACCAGACAGCTCAAACCTGTCTTATTTTCCAAATACAAAAAACCTCCTCAACAAACCAAGAAACGACACACAACTTATATGTTCAGGGTTGGGGGGCAAGAATTTTAAACTTGGGAATAACAATTCATATTTTTTAAATTTTTTGTTTAACTGAGATCACTTTGGATTTTCATTGATTGGTGAAACTTTTAACGGGCAGGTCCCTTTCCCTTCTCTCCCCCCCCCTCCCCCCCCCCCACCTCCCCCCGATTTTGGAGTTGAGTCAATTGGCTACATGTATTGCCCAATTACAAGGCAAACAGGAGTATACATTTCTGGATATTCCGCTAAAGGAAATTACCTCCTACAAAATAGTAATATCTAACGCATTTTCGTTGGTCTCTGCGCACATCTCAACTTTTGTGTCTCGTCTCAGAGATAAAGTTTTAAGGGGCAAGCGACCAGCAGGTGATGTTGCTTCACCACCCAAACTGGAAGCTGCCCCTGATCGTAATTTTCCATTTCCTCCATCAACAATGAGTTTTCCTTGCGCCTTTAGTTCGGCATGCATTTCTGGATAGTACGCAATAGCAAATTACCTGCTATAAAATAATATCCATGTTCTGTATCTGGAGTGCACGTCCCAACTAAAGTGCCTCGTTTTAGAGATAAAGCTTTAGGCGACAGGTGACCAGCAGCTGATATTATTTGTATGATTCCACCTGCTCCACCACCCAAATGGAAAGCTGCCCCTGATCCTCTTTTTCCATTTCCTCCATCAACAATAAGTTTTCCTTGCTCCTTTAGTTCAACCTGAAGAAAATAAACCAATGAAAATCGTGGTCAGTTTAAGTGTAAAATCAGGTGACAAGTAGAAAGTTAAAAAAACAAAACTTTGGATCGACCCTTGGTGTCCTGTCATATCTAAAAAAAGCAACATTCATGTTTGGATCCAGATATCCGGATTTGGCGATTTTCCCAAAAAACGCAGACGTACTCTCTGACCTTTTTCTTACCCTGGGAACGATCTTACATACTGCCTCCAAATTTAACTGTTTATAATTTAGCCATAAAGGCTAAGTTTGAATTATTTCCTTTCTGAGTTGTAAATAGATCTATTTTAACACTTGTTCTCCTTCGTAAGAGTAGAGTAAGGTAACACCTAAATCAATAAGGAGTAATCGGAGCTTAGAAGAGTGCGTTCGATATGTTTGCTAGGCGTACAGGTAGCAGTGGAGGGGAAAGGGTGGATGGTTCTTGCGGCAGATAACTATGATTCTGGCATATTTTGAACGTAAGGCTTGCGTACAGCGAACCCTCGACTTTAACTGTGTATCATAATGAAAAGGTTTTGAAGCACCGTAATTTTTAGGGAGTTATTATAACTCCAAAAATGGAGTAAAAATTTTAGGTACAGGATAACCCCTTTTTGGGGGTTATTTTAACTCCTAATTTAACTCCGAATTTGGGGTCATTTTTACTCCTGAAAAAGAGTTCTTTTTACTGCCAGTCTGGAGTTAAAATTACTCCGAAATGGGGTTATTTGTACTCCTTACATGGGTTGTTTTTACTCTTTTTGGAGTTAATTTAACTCTGAAAGTGGAGTAAAAATTTTAGGTACAGGATAACTCCTTTTTTTGGGTTATTTTAACTCCTCAATATCTGGGGTCACTTTTACTCCTGAAAAAGAGTTCTTTAAACTCCTTTTTGGAGTTAAAGAAACTCCACGAAAAATAACTCCAATGTAAGGAGTTAAATTAGCCCCACTAGAGGAGTTATTATAACTCCCTGAAAATTACAGTGAGGCTAGTGATCAGCGTGATATCATATGGTTCGTCTCAAGTGCTTGTTATTTGAGGAGACACTGGCCAGAGTGCTTCGGGCGTTTAAAAATGACTTTTTGTTTTACTGCATGGCGCAATAGATGTTCCACTGGGCGCAGTTGTTCGAAGGCCGATCAGCGCTTAACCCGGGTTTCTTTTTCTTTTGTTAAAAAACATTTCTTTGGATAATTTTCTCAGTTATTTTTAAGAGCGTCCAATCATCAACTTGTTGGCAAAATGAAGCCGGGTCGCCAGTTCGATTCTCGCCCGGGGCATGAAAATTTCCTTTGTCCCGGGCGAGCATGGTTTCTCCTCCTTCCAAGTTGAAAATGTTCACTGGAAGTGTATGTGTGCTGCTCACTAGTGTATCATTAAAATTAATAAAAATAAAATTAATTTACGCAACCAAGAAAAAAACAAAATGGCAGGTGAAAGGTAAGTGACGCCGACTGATTTTATTTTTCTTTTTATGATCCGGGTTGACTTTTTTATGATCCGAGTTGATCCGAGTCCAATTTATTTTATTTTTATTATTTTATTCGATCTGAGTCGATCCGAGTTGATCCGACCCGGACTGGCGGTCCCGACTTCTGTACCTGCCTAGCTAAAATGTTCGTTTGTCCAGTACCGAAAACATCACACGTCATGATGAAATGGTGCCGCCGAGCTACACATCTCGGTAGATTTACTCTGTGGCACTACGGCCGCCTAGCTACACAACAAGTAGATTTACTTTGTGGCACAACAGACGCTGGGCTTCACAACTCGCCGGTAAATTTACCGAGCTAAACAACCCGGTTTGATGCATGCACCAGTAGTAGCACGCATTTTCCAAAGAAAAATATGAAGGCTTTATCCAAAGTAAAATTTTACCCAGGGTGTAAACTTTCAGCACACTTTTGAAAGATGAACGCTTTGGAAGATTCATTTAACACAGATCGATAGTAGAACTTAAATTTGTACGCTTTACGAAAATTCAGCAGACTTTTAAAAGATAACATTTTACGAAGACAGAATAGCAGACCTCAGCAAACGTTTGAAATATGAACGCCGAGGACACACGAATCACCAAGTGAGTTAGCGCGTCAAAGTGAGGCAAAACGTAAGCAAGCGCCTCAAAGCGAGGCAAATATATGTCGACGACGACGAAGATGCATTCTCAAAAAAACCTCCCTTACTATTCATTCAAAATATTTCCCCGATTCTGACTGGCTAAAAGCACACGCATAATTCACCATAACCAGTTACTGACAACCAAATTTGGAAGAATTTTATGTTTAACGAGGAAATGACGTCAAAAATGCAGCGTTCTTGCAGATTAATGCACCGTTAACCGAGAAGACTTGGGGACTAGGTTGTTTTTAAACTAGGAATTATTTTGAATGAATAACAAAACAATTATTGAATTCGTCTTTTGTATCAGTGAAGAATTATGGAGCACCCAACACAAATTAGGGGGTTGCGTTCTCGTACCTCGAACACAATAACTTCCTAGCCCATTAACTGAGATAAGATTGAACTTTCTGATAAGGGGGACTCCATCATTTTTTTTTTAAACTAGAATCTGGAAAAAGCGTCTATGACATTTTTATTCAAAAAAGGGGGTGGCAAAATTCGTGAAGATGAAATTAAAAATCAGTAGTATTAGTTTTGCGGATTCGAAAAATAAACCTCATGTAGCATGGGGAGCTTACGAAATCATGGTGGCTACAAATACAGTTTTATGACTTTACCAACCTTAGAAACTTCGCTTTGTTAAGTGCTCGGTGTATCTATTTGTTGATTTTCAAAAAAAGATGCAAGCAAATCAGTCTGTGTTCGCGTCTCGAACGCTACCCTTCCTGTCAGAGCCAATTCGTATGAAAATGTTCATATTTCAGCCTCCGAACATCCTCACTCCGTCTGAAAATGGAAGACGAGGCTTAGAGAAGTGGCGGGGATTCAAGAGATCGTTTGCGCGTGTAATAGAAAGGCCTTCCCTATTGATTTTATCTTCTTTTGTTTGTTTACGTGAGACAGCTTTGCGAAGACAAGAGACTTTGCCATTTATACATAGTCGAACTTCTCCTATGGTGTAAAATCATCATCCGTGACGTATGCACTCCTTTTTAATACAGAGAAGAACCGCTCCTCTATTGAAAAGTTGAGGTTGTGGCTTACAAAAGTGTTTACAGTAACTGCGAAAGAGACAGTCCCGTAATTACACCTAGTCAAACTTAGCTGCTATTTAAAAAAAATAACTGCGAATTTTGTAGACTGTTGTAGATAGAGAGTCAAACTTTGCCTGTAGGAACCCTGCTGTCAAAAGTAAAAAAGGCCAGAAAAATAATGAGTAAACGTAAATTACACATTACAATCATGGATTACATGAGAAGCGTTAAGACGAATAAGTCCACCAGATCCACCAGAACATGATTCGACTGTTTCACTCTGAGCTGAAGCTCTGATGATTGCATCTAAAAAGTATTGAAATAAAATGTGTCATCGAAGAAATGTATTCCTTATCAATAAATAATAAAACAAATGATAAATAACAATTATTCACCGAAGTGGAGGTGGCTAGTAGTGGATATTTAGCGAGGCCGCCTTAGCGGCGAGGTAAATACCCACCACCACTAGCCACCGACACTGAGGTGAATAATTGTTTTAGTATATACTAAAGCAGTGGGATAATTGAGCACAAAAATGACGCTTTTTAACTCCTTTACTGTTGCCTGCAACGATTACAATTTTGGCGCGCAATGACCGAACGGCCGCGGTCGTCGCTTTTTCTTGCCGACAAATAAAACTTTTGAAGGCATTTGTTTAACTCTTGCGGGGAAATTTCCTTAAAAGGAGTTGTGAATTCTTTTGGTATTTAAAATCATTCTGTAAAAAAAAATTATTAAATTTAGTTTTAAGCTTATTACTGGGCTGCCTGTGCGGCCCAGTCATAAAATGGGCTTTCGGTCGTCGGTGTCAAAAAGTGGTCTCCCGGGGGAGGGAAGACACGAGGGTCTGGTACCGAGAAACGATGTTCTCACAAATGCTTTCATGTGAGTTTCTCTTGCATGGAGCCTTGCACGGATACTTTTTGTACCTTGTCTGCGCTCCCCCTGAAAAACCCACAAGGCGTTGCGAACCTGAAGAAGGCTATTTGCGTTGTTCCGAAGCGATTCGACCATGAGAGTCACTCTATAATTTTTTTATTGTTCGAGTTTACGTCAGTTAGATGATGTTGGCGCTGGGAAACTCAGAGAAATGCTCGCGTTGCAAACCGACACGCCGTTCACGGTAGGTTCACACTAAAAGACTGAAAAGATGACTGTGAGCGTCAGGTTTGGAACGCCGTGGCCGCTTTGTGAACTATCGATCGATGTAGTACATGAGCAATTAAGAAGCACAATTTATGAGCAAAGTATTTCACCAGTTGACGACACTATGGCTGAAGACTTGATTGTAAGCCGTCATAGTCAGTGAAGCGAACAACTCAGTTGCCGATGAAAGGCACTACGCACGTCCATGAGCGAGGGACGTGACAACTTTGCCATGTTAGAAGACTGGCTTATCCTTTAAATATTTCCTTCTATTTAGTGCAACATATGCCACTTTGGGGGTCTAAATTTCGGATACTGAGGATAAAGAAGACATGGACAAAAATAGGAACTCTGAGAATTTCGCANATTTATGAGCAAAGTATTTCACCAGTTGACGACACTATGGCTGAAGACTTGATTGTAAGCCGTCATAGTCAGTGAAGCGAACAACTCAGTTGCCGATGAAAGGCACTACGCACGTCCATGAGCGAGGGACGTGACAACTTTGCCATGTTAGAAGACTGGCTTATCCTTTAAATATTTCCTTCTATTTAGTGCAACATATGCCACTTTGGGGGTCTAAATTTCGGATACTGAGGATAAAGAAGACATGGACAAAAATAGGAACTCTGAGAATTTCGCACACAAGTTTAAAGCTTCACGGGACATCCCATCCGGGAGCTTCACAGAGAGCGGCTTGAGGAAAATAGGAGCTATTACTGACAAGGTTTGGTGACTGAGTAGAGCATACAAGTGTAGCCCACGTCGAGGTTTCAGGGGGTTTGCTTTTGTTTGTTTTCATTAAATTTGTACAAGATCTTGTGATCACAATTCTGTGTTTTCGCCCATTCAGCAAGTACGCTATATTGATGTCAGCATTAGCGAGTTTCAGAAACATGCCTTTAAAAATTTTCAGCTCTCGTAATGTTTCTTGATAATTCTTTCACCATTTTATGGAGATGTAAACTGAAGTCACCGCAAAATGGAAACTTAAAAAAGCGTATAATCCATTTATCTCGAAACATATTAAACACACATGACTTATACGACCTTTATTTTCGTAAAGGTGTTTTGAATACGAACGAACACAGTCAATGTGAGGGGCAAAAACAGCATTAATATAAATGAACCATAGGATTTTAACTAATATGAGGGTCAATTATTGTGCATTGAGATGAATCTCTTGAAAAGAGAGACTTCGCTTGAAGATGTGATCAGAAGTAAACAAAGGCATAATAGTGTGTCACGTTCAGTCTTTTTAATATCCAAGGAGTCACTGTGAATAGTGTTTCAATATTGTTTAGCTGGCACAAAAACTTCGGACGAGTTATAAAGCGGCATAGTTATCTTCCATGAAGAAAAGTTAGTCTTGGGTGAGACAAACAGAACTGGAGCGAATTTTTAACTCACATCGGTATCAGGTAAAAAATATGTTATCGATCGTTTCATCTATTTACATTGTTTGAAGTGCGTGCTGGTGAACGCAACATGCGAGCGAGAAATCTTTAAACTTTTTGAGGTCACAAAATGCAAAGGATTTTATTCCTTTAAGTTAAAGAAAAATACCATGAGGAAAATCTAAAAACTGAATATTTTTTCATCTTGTGGAAAAAATAGTGCGTTTTCATGTAGACTGTGGACCGCAAATTAGGATCGCACTTTTCACAAACATGCGAATCCTGACGTTCAGAACCCAACCGACGATTGCGTTTTTCGCTGCTGTCAATCATCTCAACGGACCTCTTAGGAAACAAAACTTTACTTCACGGGTTCAAAAGGTCATGGTTTGTGATTTGTGGATTTCGATCCGTTTTGTGTGTTTCTCTGTTTCAAGGTTAGTTGCTTGTGATCGTAATTATGATTGACGGCAGCGATAAACACGATTGTGAAGGTGGCTTTTGAACTTTAGAGTTCGCATGTTTGTGAAAAGCGCCGTTAAGTCTCCGTGCAGTCAGTGAGGCCCCTGGATCAGGCGGGATCAATGGGTAGTTAACTGTCTGTTTTAGTATACTTCTGGTTTTCATACAATACAATATTTCTGTCTAGTGTAAATCAGCTCAGTCTGTCGCATTTTATTCTCGTGGAAGGACAGCAATTTTTGGAATTTCCGGTTACGTCAAATTAGTCACGTTATACTGTCACGCTATATTTTGGGGCACAGAGGGATTGGGGGAGGGGTGCATGGAAATAATGCAAATTGTTTCCTGTTTAGAATTAGTGGCTAACTTGTTTATTTTTATTCATAATGGTGGACTTTAAAAGTTATTATACACCCCCCACTTAAAAATGGTACTCTTTTTTGGGGGTTACGAGAGTCTTTCAAAAGGGTACAATGTTCTGAATGAGTTTATGTTTTAGTCTCACATGAGATTCTGTTGCATGCAATGGTTGCCGACAAGGTTTTATGGTAGCCTGAGTATGTATAGCCGCCCCCTCCCCTCAGAAAAAATAGCCCCTTTGCAGCCCAGTTAAAAATCGCCTTTCGGCGATTCTTGTTTATGAACAAGTCAACTGAATAAAGTAACGCAAGACTTAAGCTTAATTTGCATTTGTAAACAAGAAAACTTTTTCATCGGTTTTATCGATAAATTCGAGTCAAAAAGACAAAGTTTTACCTGTTAAAACTTCCACTTTGAACTTCGTCACCTTAATTCTTCGTGTTTTACGGGAACAGCGTGCTTGATTAGTTGTGAAATTTCTTTGTTTCTTTACGGCAGCAAACCGGGAAGGCATTTTTACCCGCAACTTGCGCGAGTTTGGTGTCGCTCGCTCGGAGGAACTGGAGGTGAATCAGAGAGTAGTGCACGGCTGCACGGTATTCATTGATTGAGTAGCCAATCAGAGCACGTGAAAAACACTATCCACCGTTTTAGTATATACTAAAAGGAAATAATTTTATTTCCTGAAGGCGTGGCGTGAACAGGCTAATTGAATTTCTGTTAATTGGGTCATTTAAGGATCTTCTTCAAGGAACAGTTTTAAGCCTGAGATAGATACAGGATGATAGGACGATTAAAACACAGTTTCTGATTGAAAAATTTGCAGTGTTGCATTGAAATCAGGAAAATGAGTTATAAACAATACACTCCACAAGATGTTCCGCAATGATGGTTATTGTGGGAAGCCGGACAATATCTCTGCTCATGTAGCAGTCGTCATCAGACTTATATTTTTCCTGAGCACACTTTAGCATTTTAGGGTACTACGTTGTTAACAAGTTACATATTAAATAGTTTACAAAGAATTTTCTAGTGGTTAATACTTATGGTTATGCATCCTTTATCTGCTACAATTTCAATGGCTCCTCCACCAGCAGCACTTCCTGGGCGAAGAGCACATGAACCTAAGGTTAAAAGAAGGCAAAATTAACAGCAAAAATACACATTTGAAAAAGTTTTTATTTTCACCACTGATAGGTAACATTCGTTTGTCTTTGCATACTTTTATTAACTCTTTTTCGAGTTTATTTGTTATATTCTTTTCTTGTAGATGGGATATTTTCTGGTTTAGTAGTATAATAAGGACCGAATTGACCTTTTTAGGGAGGAATCCTTATTAGAGGGGTGAATACCTTAACGTCGATGACGTCATAGCTTTTTGTCTTTACCTCACGAGTAAAATGAGATTTATTTCAAATACAATAGAAACAATAGCCTCACCTAACCTTGACCGATTGAACCTGTTTGTCATGTTCGTATACTCTTTAACCGGTTTGAAAGATTTTCGGGTAATTTTCGCATTGACTCAGTCTTGGTTTTTGATTGGTCGACTTGAAGCTAAGAAAACTTTTCATTGGTTGATTCATGTTGTCGAAGGAATAAGCTTGTGAATTAAAATCACTAAGCCATAAAGTAACCATGAACGATCAGTTTCCCGCCGCTGTCATTGTCCATTGTAGACAGCTTATAGTCATGGTTCCGGTTCACTGATTCTTGGCGCGAAAATTATAGATGGTAAGGAGGATGAAGGCAAACTGGCTCTTTCTACCACCAAAAGATTTTTTTGCTCAGTCTTCCTCTCCCACCACCACTTTTCAACTGTTTGCCCTCTACCACCCCCAGTAGCACTTTTCTATTGTTTTTCTTCACCACCACCACATTTCGAATATATATATTTAGTCAAAGCTAAAAGCGAAGCTCCCGTTTATGCATTTTAAATTTACTGCAGGCAATAGACTTTAAACTATTGAAAAGACCACAAAACTATACTTAACTCTACAGAAAAACCATTTGACTATAAAACATAAACTTGAGCCAGCGATCATTTAATAGCTAACAACTGGTGAGCGGAAAACTTCTACAAACACGCTACCTCCATGAGTTGGTAATTTGAGCTGGCGATACATGTGACACTGGTCAGCAGATACCGTTTTGACACCTGTCAATTGACCATAATATGGATGTCTAAACAAGTTACAGGCTCCCACACTAGCTAGAAAATTAGACATTTCACATTGGTGTCCCTATGGTGCGTTAGGACGGGTGGATAGATCTCCAAAGAAGCTATTATAAAAACTAAGAGTGCAACTATTGCTTTTTTTTTTCCTCCTCTTTTCCTTCTCTTCGCTCTTTCTCTTTCTCCTCTCCTTTTCCTTCGTTACTGTGATTTTGGAGCTTCTCGGGCTTAAGAAACCTGCCTTGACTCCTTTTCACTCAAATTTCTGCGAATTTTGTTAGTTTGGTTTTCAAAATATCGGCTAGATATTGCCAAAGGATTCTACCAATCTTTCATAAAACTTGCTGTTTTCAAATCCGGATCTTGCTTGGAAAGAAGTAGTTTGATAAAGTCGCTTTTTTATATATTAAACATGTTAACTGAGTCGGCAGATTTAACATTAGAAACCTTCAGAAACGACGAAGACGACAACAACAACGTCAAAAAACAATTAGTTTCGTGAGAAAAACAACTGCTCTGCACCTGCATTACGCTTTTTTAAACGCGTAATTCCCGTGACAAACATTACCGAGCTAGTTGAGTGTCTTCAACGCCAGTTCCTCATAACGATTATGTGACCAAACCTCGTGCGTTAAATGTGTTCATAGATGGACTTGCGGAGTTAGGAGTCGATAAGGGCTTAGTCATTAACAAAGAATTGATTTGATAGAAAAAGGATAGAGACCTTTAGATTCAAAGACGAGATTACCTCAATACTAATACACCTTTTTACCCATACGGCGGACATATTGAATTTATTAGATTTAAGGAGTATTATAGGATGCTCAGGGGGCACTCGCTCAGTATTTACGAGCGCTTTTCGGGCAAAAAGAGAACTTTTTAACAGTTATTCCTCAAGCCCGAATGGGCTCTGAGTCAATAGCCCATGAGGCTGAAGGCTGGGCGAGAGGAATAATTGTTTCAGTAAAATCCAACTAGTTGGTCAAAAATATCGAGACAAAACAACTTGAGCTAGCAAAACACGATTCAGCCGCCACTGTTTTGGTTTTTAAAGCCGGAGCTTATTGCTACATGTACTTTTGGGTTATAACATATAGCCTAGAAGAAGTCAAAACCAATCAGAACGCAGCATTGATAGTAGACCACTAGCTGGATTTTACTAATAATGTATAATGTATATTTCTTGGGAAAAACGCGATCATCATTATATCCAAACACCGCACAAAGATCTTTTTTACCATAATAATATCTTTCTAGGAAAATTTAAAGAAAAATTGGCCCGAAGAGCGCGCTCAAATCCTGATGCGAGTACATCGGATTGTGCTCATGCCCCCTGGGCATCCCATAATACTCCTTATATCCAATTAATCCAATATGACCGCCGAATCGGTAAAAAAAATCTATTAGTGCCGGCACGTGAACTAGGGTCATTTTGGCGGGAAAAAGTGATAGTCGTCATTTTACTACGAGTTTTAGCGAGAATGTTGTGTTAGCGGACACAAGTTATAAAGTGTTATAGGTTGAATTATTTGCGGCGGGGAGATAGCTTAACCTCTTTTAATAAAGAAAACAGTGCCAACTTTTTTTGGGTGAAAAAGATGTACGATGAGGCTATCCGGAGTGTCTATTATTTGAGAAAACGGGAAACACTTTAAGTGAAATCTCGTACCGGCTCGTAGTCGTTCTCGTCCTAGAACCTTAAGGTCTCTAATAACGCTACCAAAATGGAGAAAATACTCCTGAGAAAGAGGGTAAGGTGGAAAATTCATCGGATAGAAAGGAATAGGGAGAACAGATAGCTTCTGCGAATGACAGTGAAGCCGAAGACATCCACGCGAGCGACAACGACACTGAAAACGACAGTGAGTAATATGCTAGACCACCACGTTTCACTCTGAAAGTCCCTGTGAACATTTTGAGAATGCGAATGTGTAGGAGAACATTGATCATGGGATGTACTAAGTCATGTAGCAGCTGCTCGGAAGAGAAGTCAGATACCCGCACAGTACAAACGACTTATCGACGCACTCAAGTAAAACTAACTACGAGAGAATGACTGGACAACTGACAATTTAACTGACATTTAACTGACATTACGAGTCTTCATGGCCAATAACATCACAACTTAACTGATAGAAGACCAATAAGATAGCGACTTGATTGACAAATCACCTCAATAACCAGAGGTTACTACCATCAACTGACGTGATACAACTCACTTTGACTCTAAAGATGACTACCGCACAGGTTGTCGAAACGTCAGTCACTGACAAAAATAACGGTCCTATTCAGGATTACGTTCACCCGGACGATCATACTTATCCTACTTATGAAATGACTTCTGGGTTGAAATCTTTCACATCATAACTAGTTTATTTACAACCAACAATTTCCAGAATTTTAGTAAAAAGTAGGTAAAACACAGTTAATTCTTCTAATATAGGCCTGATTTGTCGTAGTAAATATGCCGTAAGGTACAGTAATTGTAGTGTGCCAAGAGTTTTTCTTTTTTTATTCTTCTTATTAACCAATTTCCATTCCAGCGCTCATTAGTACTTAGATCAGAGCCACAAAGCTATTGGAAGTGATTAAATAATTTGTCTCACCTCCGCTTCCGCCTAATAGTGATACTTTGTCCTTTTGATCATATACCAAATTTGAATATAGGGCATTACCCAGACGCAGTGCTATTCCGCCATGACTAGAACCAGGTATGCAAGCATGGTCCAAAATAAATGACGCGGTGTTTATAATGAGGCCACCAGGACCAAGACCTGTAAAGAAACTAAAAGTCATGAAAAATCCCTTGTTTACAAAACTTAACCATCACCAAGAAAGTCTTATTCAGTCGTTAGAGTACAAGAAAAATGAATTTTATCTGACGTTAGAAATGGAGGAAGGAATTCAAGCAGCGCATGGTTTTTATTGACTAGTATTTCACTCTGTCCGGCTCCACACAGTTGTAAAAAGAAGTACCACACGAAATAATCAGACTGCCCCTTCCCAGTGATGGACTAGCATTCTATTCGGGAGAGTAATACTGAGGACGCAACTTATATCTTTTTCTTACAATTACGAGAATTTGATCAGATATAAAAGAAAAAAAAAATTAGTAATTGAAATATCCTCGCTAAGTTTGTGATCATAAAGCAATATTTACCTGTTGTAAGAACATAGCCTTTGCAAAAATGAGCTTTAATTGGGCTGTATAAGGTTCGAAGATCAGCATATTTAGAATTTCCTCTATTTGTTTTTAAGACACTCACAAAACGTAACAATAAAACGTTACAAAAAGGTGTTAATTATAAAAAAAAAAAAAGCATATAATTTAAAGTGACAAGGAAGGCTAAAGAAGCTGGGAGCTTGCTATTGAATGTTACTCAAATGGCCAAGGAATGAGTGAAGACCAGCCATAAACGACCTGTTCCCTGAACAAAGCAGTGATTAATGACTAGATGTAAACATCCTCCCTAGTAGCATGGATTTCTATTTCTCCTGTCCCTGTTTCGCTAACCAAATTGTGGCAATAAATCGGTCACAGCTGGTATGACTTCAGACCTCAGATGTGGCATGAGTTCGAGCCAATGTTTTAAGCATTTCAGAACGTTGAATCCCTCTGAACTATTATATCACACTAAGTATCCAAGGAAACCAATTTTGCCTCACCGTTGAGTATGAAACTACCTCCGACGGTTAAACATTGAAGAGACTCAGCGATATACCGTTCGTAATTATACCGTTTTATTATACCTTGTACCCACCTCCCAGGAAGTAAGTGTGAAAGCAAGAGCAAACCAAATGCAAATGTGAGAAAGGCAAATGAAAGAATCTTCTCTTACCTTTATGTAAGAGTTTATTATCCCCACTTGTCACAGCTACTGATGACTGAGTGAACCCACCGAGACATGTTTCATTTAGCACCTTCTTTGTACACGTCATGTTAATATCAGTTTCTATTAAGATGTGTCCATTCTGACTTGTTATACTTAGACCATACTTTCCAAATACTTGGACTGTTGAACCGTTTCTGAACTCAATGTTACCACTGAACCTAATCACTGCAGCGAGATGTTCACCATGCGAGCTTGAGGAAGATCTTTTTTCATGTGATGCGTTGTAATTACAACTGGGGCAGTTGTTATTAACTATGGATGGTGCAGTTGTGTTGATCTCCAGGACTTCACCGTTTCCTATTATGAGATTACCGGCTAAAAAGGAATACAAAAAACAATTTTTGGTTAGATAACTGCTATCTTTTGTCTGACGAGAAGAACATAAACTTATATTATTCTAAAATTGAAGTCCAAGTGGTAGAACAGACGAAAAGATAGCTAATAATAAAGGGGAAACTTATATCGCGATATTCAATTGGCTCCAGGGCGAATAACCTTCTGAAATAAGGCATTCCTGTCTTCACCTCACTTTTTTCTATCTTTAGTAAACTTAAAGGAATACTTCTGTAAACCCATAAACAGTCAGCAAGTTTTAACAGGAATGAAAGTGAACAACGTTCGGTAACTCTACTAAAATAATCCCGTGATCACTTTCACCGACCCTGAGGATAACTTTTTCGTAAATTTTCGTGCACAACGGAAAAATCAATAGCTATTGCCTTAAATAAAAATTATAATTTTAACTTTGGCATTAAGAGTGCCCGATTTACTCAATAATTCATTTGTGCATGTTCATAAAGGACAATCGTGAAAATATATCGCGTTTTATAATCTTTAGTTTCATATCATGGGTGAATTCAGTGCACTAATACAATTTGCATCCTGGATTTTGCATACGATGAAACATATTTTCTAAAGAGATGCTGGATATGTGAAAACCAATAAAGCCTTTTTTGAGGTTCGCGTCTTTAACATTTTAACTACTGTGCCGGTGATGTCTATTTAGATTTACTCATAATTGTAACCAGTTTTGCGACTTGAATTTTTTGGAAATATCTTTGTTTCCCACTAAGGCGGGACAGTTCAAGAAGTTAGGGGTCATTTGTTGGCAATACTGAAGGGGACGATCATGACTTTTAATGGATATATAGTGTTGTCTCTTCATTTTTAAATATGGGAATAGATGGTGAAATTTCTAAGTCATGTGTCATTGTGCTTATTTCTAATCAAGTTCAAGAGCCAACTTGAAGGAACGTTTGATAGATTTTACCACCAGAAATGGTGACCAATGGCTCATAAACTTTTCGGGAACCTAAAAACCAATTATTATCATGATAATCAGACATTTCAAGTTTCATTTCAATTACTATTTTGTAGTTATTAGCACTATGTTGAGTTTGTTTCCTTTTTTTAATAAACGGGACCGACAACAACGATAACCTGAGGGCCATGGCTTCCTTCATTCCCGATACATTATCATGGCAAATGTAACCTGGACAGGAAACTTAATGTGCCTGTGATTTTTAAAGAATTAAACATAAAATTTGAGTGGCCTTAAAAACAGTAGGCACATTAATTTAAATAATGAACATTTTCCAATTCAAGTCGCGCATATGGGTACATCACTCTTTCACAATAGATCAAGCGACAACTGTTAGTTTTAAGCTTGTCCCCAACGGTCTTATTTCATTGAAATACTCACAGTTTACAGACGCTTTAGCAGCGGTGAAGAAACACTACGAGCAAAACAAAACGTGAAGTTACAAACCGTCAAATCAATTAACCCTTTTGTCGGCAAAAAAGCTAAAAGCAAGTTCGATACGAGAAAAAAATAGAAAACAAACCTGAAGTACGATATTAATGGCTCCAGGGAACAAAATCAATATTCCCCACTTCATTTAGACGGATTATTGATGCGCAATACTAAACCAAAACTGGAACTGAAATCGTGGCTCACAGTATTCGAAGATGGGGTGTTAAATTAATAGTTGGCGCTTGCCTATTAGCAAATATAATAATTTTACCACCGAACATTAGGGATCTCTCCTGAGACACATGGTAAACATATATCACCTGCCTAAAATTGTTTGGTACATTGCAAATTTGGATATGCAAACAAAACGCCTGAAAACTGTGAATGAAAACTGAGTTTAGGCTATTCAAAACACTTGATCATGGAACCGTAAAGTCATCTTTCCCGTAAAGAACATAAAATATAGGGGATTCAAGGTTGTTAAGTGCCGTATTTAGCTGAACGGCGTTTGAAAATCATAATGATAAGTGGATATCTACCTGTGACGTTTAATAGTATTAGCATAAGGTAAGATTTCATTGGTTGCAATGGCAAAATTGTCTGTCGGATATGTTTACTTTTAGATTCTCCACTGATGAAATTGCACTCAGAACTTTTTTTAGAACAACTTCACCTGATCGAAAATCCTGCCTCCATATGCAAATTCCCTTTTCTTCAATAAACATTCGTCAAAGTCAGGTTTTGAAAATAAACTTACGCCTCTTTACCTGGGATTCAAGAGTTTAATAAATCCAATTTGTTGCCTTAAAAATAACCTTCTTCTGGATCGGAAAATTTAAAACCTCTCCTTGCTTTGTTAATCTTATGGATTTTGCGGAAGTTTGTGTTTAATATGATAAAAAAACGCCATGAACTGTCCCATATGTTAGGCAAACATCTCAAATTTTCCCTCTGCGGACGCAATCGAAGTGAAACTTGTCAGTTTATTGAAGTTGTCACTCCAGAAGCATATTTTTCCGTTTAGTTTTGTTGTCATTTCATATGTTGGCAGGTACTTCTAAGGAATAAACGGACTGAGCTTTTTACATCGCGTATACGGTTCCAATTTAGTTTTATCTAGAAGATTCTGTCTCGGATCATTTTTAATAAAACAACTTTCATTCTTGTGAAAAGCAGGTTTTTCATTGAAAACGGAAATTACAGATCACGAGGCAAAGAATTCTTGTGTTGTGGCCAAAGCCGACCGGGCCGAACCGTTTTTTGCACAGAAGTTTTAATTATCAAATCATCAGCATGTGGGCGTGCTTGGTGCTTTAACCTTACTCCTTATTGGATCTGCAGTCATCTTGAGGAGCGGGAAAAAATGCTTGCCTCTCTCGGCTAAGAATATTCCTCCAAGTGTGGAGAACTGATAAAAAACGCAAGACTGAAAGTTTTGTTATATTTTGGTCAGTGATTTAGGACTCTGAATACTTTATGATTGTTGTTGGTTGTTGTCGCTTGACCCATCATTTATACTGACAAAAGAACCGAGCAGAACGGTTGTGCTAAAGATGAATGCTAAATTCCTCTTAATTCTTTCTTCAACCTTTTAATTAATTTGACTATATGTAAATTTTGTGGCAGACACCAGCTCAACAGCTAACACAAACTAATTGGAGAAGCTAATTCTTTTCATCAACAATTCAGGGGAGTGAATGTTTTTTTTCTTTCTTTTTTTTACCTAGTTTAAGAAGAAGGTTCATAAGGACATCACATGAAGGACCGTGCCACCAATATAGGGGATTTGAATTAAAATTATCCTGCATAATTATCAAGAAACAAGATTTGTCACTGTAGTTACTAAGACTCACTAGTATTAAGCATTATCAAGGTAAAGAAAGGAACTAAAAAAACGTTGTCCTAGTTTATTCAAGGAATATTTGAAATAAAGATAAAGCTTTGGAATAATTAAAAGCGGAAATTATGTGTGGAGATCGTTCACCTTTTTGCGATAAAAACACGTAAAATTTATCGCTATATTTTCGCACAAATTTGAAAGAAATATTGTTATCATGGTTTTTTAATTAAGATTTAACATAACATGACTGTTGTCATTTTCAAGGACAAGTTCCGTATGACAGTCGCTGCGGGTACAGGATTTGACTGATGCCGGTCACGTTCAGCCTGCAGACAGAAAACACCTCTATCTTTTCCAAGATAATTATTTTCGAATATCATTTTTAGCTCCATCTGCGAAGATCCATCTCACATGACAACAAAACTGTCCAATTCCTGTTGTTTCATTTCGATTAAGTAAAGGTGAATGTTGCACACTCTCCGTCAATATTGCAAAAACCAGTGACAAATCCTCTATCAGCAGATTGCCTTCATTTTTTGGCTCTAAAGACACACTTTACGTTGAATTTATTATATTTATTTTTTTCATTTCAAGCAATTTCTGTGGAACCTTCTTTAATATTTTGTTTATCCATAGCTGTCAACATTGTGACGCTTCCTGCTGTTCACGCCAAAAAGCTTCTTTAATCCAAGGATTGAACCGATACGCATTCTGAATTTCACATTTGCGCCAACTTAACCAAAGTGATAAAAACTGTTTTGTATTCTTTTTGTCTGTTTATAGTGGCTCAATTTAGTTGATTTCTCCAATAATACAACCCTTTTTTGGCTAAATGCCACACTGAGAGACATGCAGGTGATTCGCGAGACATTCAAGACACCGAGCGTGTTAATATATTGCAAAGAAAACTTAACAAGTGACTTCCTTTGCTAACCTTCTCACCTTTTCAACTAAAACGTACTTACTACTTTATCTTACAATGTAAGGAAATGTTTTTTTAAGAGAAAACTTAAACATCTAACTCTATCTGATCTATTTTCTACGACTGCTATTTTCGGAACTCGTGCACTAATATATTATAGCACGCCACACTGAATTATCAATATATTTAAGGGTTTGAAAATTTTAAAATATCATTTATCCAAAACTTTCTGTGCGGTTTCATGCTGTAGTCAGCAGAAAAATATTTTCTTTTCCCACGAGAAAGTAGTTCAAAAACACAGAGAAATAGAAAATATCTGTCAAGTAATATTACTAGTAAAAGGAAAACTAATTACTCTCAGCTTTTTTTAAAAATATGTTTTTGTCTCATGTCGGACTGCCTTATTTTTTAAAGTAAGGCAGTCCGACATGAGACAAAAACATATGGAATGGCCCTTTTTATGTTATCCAGCATCCATATGAATACATTTGGCTATTTCTACTATATATGGTTTACTGATATTAGATATTCTTAACTATTACGTTAGGGCAATAGTTATGACCTGGTTATAAACAAAGTCATCGAATAAGCAACAAGAAAATTAAAATGCCCTAGTCATTTGTGAAAGTTGACTGAAAGTGTCAACTTCTTTTTTCAGCGGAGGAAATGTTTCATTTAGGGAGTATTATAAACATTAATCAGGATTTCTTAAACAAATGCTGGTAGGCAGGTCTAGTCTTTTTGCAGTTGAGAACTAAGATATTGATACTGTGATGATTATTTTGTTATAGTCGAAAAATATGACCGGAGAAAATGGTCAGCGATAAAAGTTTCATAACATCTTTTGCAAACTTTAGACATTACTGAGCCACGAAACAGTGTTTGTGGCTTTTCAATAAGGTTATTGTTATGTTAAGTGAGTCATTCATTCTTTATAAGCAGAGGGAAAGTTATTTTCGTCCTTTTACAGATCCTTGCTTTATCAATTGCCGAACATTGTCTTAGCCAAGAAAACCATCATCAATTTTTTCCATTTACTCCAAAATCTTTGCTTTTTATAGTGTCGTCTTTTAAATTCGTTGAATCGCTTGACTTGAATAAATTAGGACCGTTAGCAGCTGCTTTTCCAGAGTACCGTTTTGAGGTTCCGTATCACACTGAGAATAAACTGTCAAGTTCAATTTATTTAACGTGCTTATAGGCCGAGGAACAAAGACTTGCAAATATTACTATGGAAATTGCACTATTAAAAATTTGGCCCAGTAAGGTGTTATGTAGGCGTCTATTGTAGATATATATTTTTATCGCAAATCTATCATCTGCTTCGAACGATCTAAGTAAGACACAGAAGCAATTAGTCGCCTGGTGATGACTAATAAAATGGTATAAATTAAAAATATCGCTGCGCCACTTTTACGGTGGGCATTGAAAGGTCTAAGTTGTAAACAATGTAAATTCGGACCCCTTTTCTCAAAAATGCCAGCTCAATGGGTGCGGTCAACCTGGACCTTTTCTCCAAAGCTCTCCTCTGGGTTTTGAGAGGGTTTTGATCACTTTCATCTTTACTGCTACACTCACTCCGAAGAAATTGCCTAAGAAAATTGCAACTGTAACCGCGCCGATTAACAGAAAGAATATAATAAAGGATTATTAGTTTAGTATTTCCACCAAACTTACAGAATTTGAAATAACTTTCCTAGTCATGTTGAGCAAAGCAGAACGTAACTACCCTCACAGAATTTTGCAGGAGGTCCCAAAATATTGAAATTCATTATTTATACACTCCTAGCCGCTATTTTACGAACATCCCTGAGGACACTTTGTTAGTCTGTATTGAAATAGTGAAAGAGATAATTTTCATTGTTTTTCAATATGATGAAATGATGTAGGCAGGAACCAGGCTCCGAACTGGGGGAAATGGTCGAATAACGAGGCAAGCGCGAAGAAAGAGGCCAACCGAGCGGTGGATTAAGGAGTTCCTCCTCCCCAGACCCTTACTAGGCTCTTTTCGCTCGCCGATTTTTTGCGTCCCGTTATTCGCCTTCTCAAGGAGCCTGGTCTCAGTTTAATTTTAATAAAGATCATTTATAAAAATATTTAAGAATGCATTAAGAAAATAGAAAGTTTTCTATGCAAATGTGAATACAAGTTAACCGAGGCAATGTTAGCTTGTGACTGAGTTTTAATAATTACTCGTTGGTTTAGGTGACACTGCGGGGGGTATGATATGGTTTCCGTTTGTAGTTGATTGTACTTCCCTTACAGATTGTCTCGATGGTCCCATCTTATTCCTCATCCATATTCTGAGGTTACACACCCTCTTCAGAGGGAAATTAGATATTTCTCGGCGGAACTGTTAAATTAAAAAGCGGTGTTAGTTGTT